TCCTTGCATGGAATTCACAAAAATGTACTAATTTTGGGAGTAATTCAATGATTGAAACCAGCAGCCCTTATCTGCTTACTTATTTTCATTTGATTCAATCTTATTCTGTTAAAAAATATGGATTTGTATTGCAGTTAATTTATGCATGGTTCACTTTCGCTCAAAGTTCGCACTGACTCTAATCTAAATATTTATACTATTTTTATGTTTCTCACTATTAATTTTGTGTTCAATACTTTAGTTCTGTGAATAGCACTGAATGGATGTTCCAATGATTAAATACCAGAAAAAAGTAATTCTAATGTTCATTACCCATAAATTATTTTCTGGGATAAACTCACAGTCTTTTGATGTAACAAACTGTAAAATTCAACTGACCTGCTAATATGAGAGACACACATTAGAACATACTTTCAAAACATTTGTTAAAATTTCTTTTTTTCATTAGAAATTATGAAATCATAAAACTGTTACATTGCAGAAGGAAGCCAATCAGCCCATCAAGCTCATTTCAAAAGTAGTTTAGATCCTTCCGCCCCTCTACCCTTTCCACATTGGCTGAAAATTCTTTCTCCCAAGATGCTTATCCAATTTGTGTGATAAATAATAGTCAAAGGCAATGCCCAGTGACACAAGGAGGGTGCGAATTGGGGCAAATCAGAGTCGCAAGGTGAAAAACAGATTTTTAAAATGTAGTGAGAGTTTTTCACATAGTGCATCATTGCCCATTGAGATAGTTGATGCATAAGTTTTCATAATATCTTTTGTGTGAGAATTTCACTCAATGGCTTTGAGATGGAGTCTGTATGGTTTAACAATTAGATTTGCCAGTTCTGTTTGGATCTATATCTAGTGATTTCATCACCTAATCTTTCAATTTCTATTCAGTAAGACATACCTTGTCTTTTATGTTTCACTGTATTTCTTCCTTGATACTTCTATAACTAATAAGAGCCTTCCAAGAAAACTGGATTTTTTTAAAAATCCCTTTAGTTCTTTTCTTCTCAGCAACTCACTGCAATGTCCTGATGGTTGATCCTTAATTTCTAGAAATACCAAGATAATTCTGGAGGATTGCTAACCCTACTAACATCAGATAAATCCTGTGTTTACCACATTATTCTGACAGTTTAATGGAATATTTTCTGGAAGTCCTCCATGATAGTATGCCGACACGTTATTATACTGAATTTGTTTTGAATGTTTCACAGTTCCTTTTGTGAAGATCATTATACATAAAACTGTTATGTTAATTTTTATTAATTAGGAATCTTTGAAGCAGTAAACACTCCGTGTAAAGATTAAACATTGATGCATCTAATTAAATCGGGACTGTTACAAGCAAGGACTCACTCAACAACTACAAATTATTCCAGCAATGATGCATTTTAAGAACCAGGTTCTAGGAACTACGTGAGATGAATAGTAATATGTAAACCTTTACTTTGTCAACTAATTTAATGGGAGGGCTAACTTGTTTAAGATAAAGATCATGTAAGGAATTGTTAAAAGTGATCTAAGCAAGTTGTTCATGCTGTTGAAGAGCTCAAACATCATTTGGTGCAAACTAAGAATTATGAAGCAGAAGGTATGAAGTGAAAGGAGGTAGGACTTCTCAATAAGCATTGGATAAATCACTGGGAAAGGTTATAGAAGTGGAGGTTATAAATGGGTTTAATAGATAATTAAGTGTATTTCTGGAAGAAAGATTTTTTTAACTTTTTTTCTTTCTACACTTTTCTCAGTTTCTTCAGCTCTTCACAAAAGGCAATTTGATGATATTTAAAGAAAAAAAACAAACATCGAAGAAAGCTATTCGGAAAGTTGCTGGAAAAGCTCAGCAGGTCTGGCAGCATCTATGAAGGAAAAAAAAGAGTTAACGTTTTGGGTCTAGTGACCCGAAAGCTATTAAATTTCCAGGAGGTACTTGTTGACAACAAGAAAGAAAAATATTGCATCAAAGGCAAATCAAGACAAGTCAAATAATTCTTCCACAGACAATGACAACCCATTTAATCTTTCACTTTATATAAAATCCAGAAGTCACATGGTTTTGACATTCTTATTAGCTTGATTAGGGATTTATAGTTTGATTGGTTCACCTTAGCCTAAAAGCTTCCAAAACCAATATTAAGGTTACTTTTCATAGTTTGTGAATATGGTCATTACACAATAATTAATAACTGAAATTGTTATATTGAGTTTTTTTTATCATAGGAAACCTTCATTAAATACTACTTTATTTTTGACATTGCTCATTTAAAATTGTTTTAAGGGTGGATTTAATTGAATATTTTGACAGATGTACAGCAAATGACTACTATGTCGCTTATCTAATTACTTTCCTTCAGCCCAACAAAATTTATGCATTTTCATTACGTAGAATATATTCTATTCTTTAATATCAATTCTTTAATTAAAATACTGATTAATTAGGAAGGTAGGAGCAAAAGACTGATTCCACTAGCTTGTTCCATCTTTCAATTAGATCACACCTGATTTATAGTACAGCATCATTTTCCTGCCTTAATTCTATGTCCCTTGATGTTCTTTCCCAAAAACAAATCGTCCAGTTTCAAGCCTTCAAGTAAATAACAACAGAAAATGTTGAAACTACTCAGCAAGGCTGACAGCATTTCTGGAGAGAGGAAAAAAGTAACATTTCAGATCTGTGACCTTTCATCAGAACTAAAGGAAGTTAGAAATGCATTTAGCTTTAAGGCTCAAAGTTTTGAGGCTAAGGCTACAACTGTGATTACTGAGTCTGATGCATAGAAGCAGAAAAATTTTGAGCTCCATGAACCTGACTTTTAAAAAGGGCCAACTGCATTTCCTATTTTTGTTCTGGGAGTTGGAGCTAATTTGGGAATTGGGCCAGGTGATCCAAGAAGAGCTGAGGAATCTGCTAATTCCTGAAGGTAGGCTGTGCATTAATCTTCCCTCTGAGATGCAGCCAATGTGTCCAAAAATTGAGATTAAAGATAAAATGTATCACAAATCTCCTACTGTTACCCCTCTTACCCGCTTTCTCCAAAAGCCCCATCCATTCCAGCCTATATGCCTTCTATCAACTCCATAGCCCCTTAAAGCTCCATGCAAGTCTATGGTCCTAACCTATTCATGTGGTTCCCCATCCCATAATGCTACAAAAAGACTCCAGGACCTTAACGCATGCCCCAATAAACCCCTATATCAACTTAGTACATGCCTTCACCCTTTGTGCTTTCCAAGTTCATCTAGAATGCCATCTCACCGCGGAGCTACACATATCCACACAAGAGAGAGAATACATTACCATCACTTAAAGTTCTATAGAGTACATTTTATTGAGAAGAGCACTTTCATTCATTAAAACATATTTTGACGGGTCTTGATGACTTTGACACCTCTTGAAAAGCTTTGACACTTCTTGAGATTTCTTCACCCCTGTTGACCATAAGATGTAGAAATAGAAGTCGGCCATTCAGCCCATTGAGTCTACTCCTCCATTCAATTAGGTCATCACTGATCTGATAATTTTCAACTCCACTTCCCTACCTTCACGCCACAATCTTGATTCCCTTATTGATTAAAAATCAACTTAACTGCAGCTTCAGTTATCAATAATAAGAATCCGATAGTCTGTTTGTTGATTTGTCACATAACTGAGTTTAGACATTCTCAATTCTGCATAATCCTTCAGGCTTTTAACCAAAGACAACTAGTTTTGAAAGTTAAATTTAATTCTTTACTCTGTGGTAACCTCTTTCTTAACAGTTCCAAACAACATCCCTTTCTCAGGAGCAACTGTTTTACACATCCAGCTTCAGCCAAGACTCCTGCAAAACTGACCAAACTGAAACTAAAAAGCTTTCTTCCAAACTATGGGAATTTCCCTTAAGTCCAAAAACAATTTCTGATGAAGGGTCTAGGCCCGAAACGTCAACCTCTCTGCTCCTACGATGCTGCTTGGCCTGCTGTGTTCATCCAGCCCTGCACCTTGTTGTCCAGAATCTTCTACTTGAAAGCCCAATGCAACACATTGTTCCCCCAACATAGACAAAATCCCATTACTCTCCAGGAAGTCTTTAATCACACTGTGTTTTAAACAAAAGAAGTATGGTTACGGAGGCACAAATAAATTAATCATTAAACCCTTTTCGACACATAGAAAACCCATATGCCATTAGTGTAAAGTTCAAAGATTCAAAATAAACGATATTAAAATATATATAAATCGCACATTTTACATCACATACTTTAATGCTCCAATTCACAGAATATTGACAGCTTCTGAGAGATAATTGCTAATGTCTGTTACTTTCTTATGTGAAAATGTCAATTATAAATTTCCTTCCTATGTGAGTTAGCTCCAATTTTAAGATTAAGTTTCATTGTTTACCATTCCTCCTCAGAGTTTCTCCGAACATATCCTATCCAATCTATTGACTGTCAATTCTTTATCTTGCATGCTCAAGGGAATTGATGTCAAGTTTACACAACCTGTTCTAGTAATTTAACCTTCCAAGTTCTGCTTTTATTCTGGTAAGTCTGTTCTTCACCATTGCTCAGTATAATTAGCAGGATGTTATGTATGATGTAAATAGTGATTAAATTAATTAAAATTATATTTTTAACATTACATAATTATAGTCTGCAAATTTATTATCAAGGATTTTAAATGTGTGGTTGTGTTGGTTGATTTATCTTCCGAAGACAGATTTACCAAATACTTCTCAGATGGTAGAACTGGTCCAAAAGAAGCTCGTTAACAGTAAAAGTATATGAATAGTTTGAAAGAGTTTACAGATTGGCTCATCTCAATGCTCAGAATCACAATTTCCACGCTAAGTGCGATCAGCAAGAGGTATTTAGTTTCTTACAACTAAAGCTTCATGTTGGGGTATCTTGCAAAAACGGGAAGGGCTAACAGTTTGGTTCAAGTAATGTTCGTGTTTTGTAAACAGACTTTATTGATGGTTTTATAAATAAGGCAGTTACAATAATTCAGCACCCTCACATTAATTCATCAAGTTTTTATTGAGACTGTATCCCTATAACTTCATTGGCAAAATAACATCAAAAAATGATTCATGCATCAGCACCTGCGTCTGGATCCAATTGTGAAGGGCACAGCATACCAAAATGAAACAGGACACCCTTTCTAGGTTGTACCGCAAGGCCTTACCAGAGTGGTCCAGGCATCAAAGTCTCATTTTAATCTGTTCCATTAGCGGACTGGTGAAAACATGCTCATTGTTGTTTCTCCCTTCTACTACAGTCTGAGGGTTTTGTAAGGGAGTCATTGACCAGGTTTGGAGGGTGTAACCCTGATCTCCCAGAAGCCATCTCTGTATGGTCCGATGATTTTGGAAGGAGACAGGAGCTTGAGTCCTCCTGTGTATGAACATCACGGCAGCTCCAAAGCTATCCACTGTATTCCTCCAGAATCCGACATCAATGGTCACAGATAAGCTGCACATTGACCAAGTGGGAGACTTTTCTATCGATAAAAACTTTGCAGTTTGCTGATCAGGTGCTCTCAAAGCAAAATGGATGTAAGTCTATAAAACCTTGCCCCTAGGAGAAGCTAGTAATGTCGGAGAATGCCACATCCTGGATAGCTTGACTCTCATCGGCATGATTGGAGTATATAAACTGGTGTAATTAGGAGGAAATGGGACAAGATTTCCAGATGTGTTTTTGGGTTGAGGACTGGGAAATACCATACCAGTTCCTGGCTGCCCCTTGAAACAAGCTGGACCTTTGATAGCCACTGGTATAAAAAGGTCACCCATTCCTTTTGAGTGTGAGTCCAGCTTCACAAGTGATATAGTTTGAGTGACGGTGGCCCAGGACACCCTTAGCCTGCACCTGCAGAGTATTTCTGAAAGCTGTGGAAAATGACAGTGAGCTTGGTGTATGTAGGGTCTGTTCTCTTTCATCTCCTTGAGAGTTCTTCACTGGCTGCATATCCATTTAGAAACAGGGCAGCAGTTGCTGGATATTACTCTTCTTGCTGGGTTTGCTGATGCCATTGTAATTGCTTTCTCCTTCATTATTACTTTTGTCTATGTAGCAAGGCCATAAGGAATGCACCAATCATGAGTTTGGCTCAGTTGTATGGGCCTAAAATCTGTGGGGAGTATCAGAATAGAGCAGCAGATCAGTAACACTCCTCCTGAGACCTGCCATCATTCTCAATAAATCTCACTCAAACTCATGTTATGCTGTGTCACTGTGTGCTATGTAGACATTGCAAAGAAATCAATATCATGTTTCACGAAAGAACTCTGAGATGTGACTTTATCCAGATGCATATTGCAGAACAAAAGTAATAATGGAACATTGAGGGAGTGCAATTCTGACATTAATCCACTTTGATGGTACCCACTTTGGAAAAAAGCCACCCTTGAACATCATATACCATCTCCCGACATACTTAAAGTTCTGCTTTGACAGCTCTAAAGCGTTGCCTTTCAATTTCAGGTATGAAACATGCAGTTCATGGTTAAAACCATCTTCATTCCTTTCAGACCTGCAACTGGCATTGCCTTCAGGTATGACCAATTAAATGAGAGTGAGTACTGTCTCCATTAAGATGAAAACATGCTGTAGTAGCAGTAATATCAGTTAGTTGTTACTATTTTTGTTCCACAACTCATGGCCTTGCATGATAGAGGGAAGTGTATCAGTAAGTCCAATCCAATGTAGTTGTTATGGTTAAAAGAGTGCGCAACAGCTGTGAGCTGTGCATGTTAGATTAGCAGCAGTGCAATGTGTGTGGGAGAAGTGAAGCACTGAATGTTAGGTATAGGTCCTGACTGATAGAAGTTTTAGTAAGTGAGAAATGGAAGTGTGGTGCATGAGGCTAGTGGTGCAGTTGGTGGGATGTGACATTTGAAGATGAATTCACTGACATTACTCACTGATGTGAGGTGATTGAACTTTTATCGCACCACATCCTGATCTTGGAGGCTAAACTCCTAGTATCGTCCACGATGGCCATCTGTTCCAGTTACCTTCCGGGAGCCTGTCTAAGGACCTTGTGAGGACCTCTCTCCTGTCCTACCTTACACAATATGTCCACCAGTGATCATCAGGCAACCTTGAAGTCCTCTGTCTGCCATGATTTGTAGGGGAGGCAGTGACCTAGTGGTATTATCGCTGGACTGTTAATCCAGAGACCCAGATAATGTTCTGGGGACCTGGGTTTGAATCCCGCCATGGCAGATGGTGGAATTTGAATTCGATAAATATCTGGAATTAAGTGTCTAATGATGACCATGAATCCATTGCCAATTATCAGGAAAAACCCACTTGGTTCATTAATGTCCTTTAGGGAAGGAAACTGCCATCCTTACCTGGTCTGGCCTACATGTGACTCCAGACCCACAGCAAAGTGGTTTACTCATAACTACTCTCTGGGCAATAAATGTTAGACTAGTCAGTGGCACCCTCATCCTGTGAATGAAGAAAGGATGATGTGCTACTTCTGCCTCTTTTCTGAGTCAAACTCACTTATGCAAGCACTTCCAATTTTTTAATCCCTCTGGCCACAGGGGAGGTGCCAGAGGATGGAAGGACAGCTCAGATGGGTTTCAAGAAGGTGGTAGATATAAACCAGGGAATTACAGACCAATGAATCTCACATCAGTGGTAGGGACACTACTGCAGAACATTTTCAAAAGAAAGAATTAACTTCCACTTGAAGAGGCACAAGTTTGGTCAGGGATAGTCAGCATAGCTTTATTAGATGGAGGTCATGCCTAGGAAATTTGATTGTTTTCAAGAAGGTGACCAGGTGTGTAGATGAGGGTGGTGCAGTTGAGGTAGTTTATATGGATTTCAGCAAAGCCTTTGACAAGGTCCCACATGGGAGATTGATACGAAGGTAAAACCTTATATGATCCAAGGTAACTTGGCAAGTTGGATGCAAAAACTGTCATAGTAGTAGGAGACCGAGAGTAGTGGTAGAAGGCTGTGTGACTGGAGGTGGTGTCTGGTGGCATACTGCAGGGCTCAGTGCTGGGTCTCTCTTATTGCTCATGATGAATATAAATGAAATAGAAGAAAATGTGGGGGCTGAAATAAGTTTGCAAATGACACAAAGATTTGATGGGTGGTTGGCAGTGAGGAAGATGGTCTAAGGTTATAGGAAGACATTGATGATTGGTCATTGAGCAGATCAGTGGTGTACGGAATTTAACCCTGATAAGTATGAAGTGATGCACTTTGGAAGAAGCAATAAGACAAGGTGTAATAATTCCAGAGGCTGGTATCTCATCACCAAGTGATCCTTTATTTACACATGACTAATCCTGGACTATGGTACCTGACTCTGTATGAGGCAGTACCAAAGTGTCAGTATCTTTGACACATCCTTTTTATATATCAGCCAGGGCTCCCATATTAGAATGAACAGCCCTAATTAGAGAACTTATATTCTATGACCCTTCTGAGGAAGCATCATTGGACCCGAAACGTTAACTCTGTTTTTTCCTTCATAGATGCTGCCAGACCTGCTGAGCTTTTCCAGCAACTTTGTTTTTGTTCCTGATTTACAGCATCAGCAGTTATTTTGTTTTTTTAATTTTCTATGACATCCAGCTGGCTGACCTCGTTACAATCACTACATAAGGGAGTACTCAATGAATGTAGAACATTAGGAAGCTTGGAGGAAAGAGGTATCTTGGGGTGTTGTCCTCTGATCCCTAAATTTAATTTTGAGAGCAGCAAATAGTTGCATCTGAGATTTTACCATATAGTTATTTGAAACTCATTTCTGAAAACAAATGATTCTAATTAAGTCAATGTTGATCATTCCTTCTTTGAGTTCAAAAAAAAAAGTTTCATGAATTTTATCAAATAAGTCTGACGTCTTTAGTGCTTTTATCTGGATAATAGCCTGACAATTTATAATGTCTTGATGTACCTGTGCCAATTACTGTCTTTGCTGTAAATGTTTCATTCTTAAATTGCAACTCCAGTATCAGTCAAAATATTAATAATAAGGTTCATGTGGAGCTGCACATTTCCTGTGGTGACATTCTTTAATAGCTTCTTTTAGTCTGGCAAGTTGTAGAGTCAGCAATTATGCAGCATATTCTCATTATGAGGACATATTAATGCCAGAACAGCTGTACTTAATGAAGTAGTGTACCTGGTAATTACCATTCTGCTTACGCTTAATATTAATTGTGATTGCTCGTCTCAGCTCGTTTGGTAGTGAGGAGATGGAATTCTGTCAGCAAAGGTGGTTTAGTGGCTGAGAATCTCAGAAGGGACTTGACTTTCAGCATGTTACAAAGCCCTGAGCAAAGTGCAGTTGGAAAAAGACAAACATTATGAGCAGTGGTGTGGTCACGGTGGTACGGCCCTGCCATCTGTGCTCACTTTGTAGCTCTGTTCTCTTCACATGTGCATATTCTACTAACGTGGTCGATCTCAGCTCTAAAGTTGTGCATGTACCCTCAGGAGCCTGCATTTAATTTTTCTCAAAAGTATCCCATGCCTATTTTAAAATTTTACGATCTCCAGACACAATTAACAAAGAGCAAAATGTAAAGGCAAGAAGTATAAAGAATGTTGTGCTAAAGCCAGCTAAAACTAAAGGTGGGAAACATAAATGGGATGACTCATTTATTGAAATAAGCTGTTTCAGTACAGCTACAAGAGCAGCATCCATGTGGTAATGTGGAATATTGTCCAGGTATCTCCTGTCCACAAAATACAGGACAAACCCAACAGAAAAAAACCCAACCCCACAAAATACGGGACAAACCCAACACAGCCAATTACTGTCCTATCAGACTACCTCAATCAAAATGATGGATGTTGTAGTTGACAGTGCTACAAAGGAGAACTTACTCAACAATAACCTGTTCACTGCAGTCAGTAATTCAGCAAAGGACTCAAAGTCGTAAAGTATCACAGCGTAGCAAAAGTCCCTTCAGCCCATATGGTCCACGCCAGTCATCAAATAGCCTATCTACTCTAATTCCATTTTCCAGCCCTTGGCCAATAGCCCCTTATGCTGCGGCCTTTCAAATATTCATCTAAATACTTAAATTTTGTGATTGTTCACCCTTACAGCACCTTTCCAGGTAACAAGTTTCAGATACTCGCCAGCCTCTGAGTGGAATCCATGCCCTCCTCACCCCCGATACTGGTACCTCAACTAAAAGGAAAGCTTCCTTCCTGTCTACCCTATCCATATCAATCATAGAATCCCTACAGTGTGGAAGCAGGCCAGTCGGCCCATCAAGTCCACATGAACTCTTTAAAGAGCATCCCACCTAGACTTGCCTCCCTACCCTAACCCCATAACACATTTCCCATGGCCAATCCACATAGCCTGCACATCCCTGAACACAATGGGCAATTTAGCATGACCAGTCCAACTAACCTGCACATCTTTGAACTGTGGGAAGAAACCGGGCACGTGGAGGAAGCCCATGCAGACGCAGGGAGAATGTGCAAACTCCACACAGATTATTGCCTGAGGGTGGAATCAAACCCAAGTTCCTGCCACTGAGCGGCAGCAGTGCTAACTACTGAGTCACTGTGCCGCCAATAATGCCTTCATAATTCTGTTGACATCCATCAGGACTCCAAGGAAAATATCTCCAGCTTATGTTGTCTGTCTTCATAGCTGAACTGGTCCAGCCTGGGCAACATCCTGGTGAATCTCCTCTGCACCCTCTCCAATGCAATCACAACTTTCCTATCATGTAGCAACTAAAACTGCGCACACTGCTCTAACTTTGGTCTAACCAACTTTTAGACCTAAAAATTGGAGCTTTACATTAGCTACACAGGAAAAGTTAAAGATATTAAGACCTGCTCTAACCCTTGTGTAACTATACACCTGACAAATACTATCACTATGCTCCCCCATCACTAAAATTGACCTCACCCACACCCTACTAGACATCTGACCTGAACATACACCCAAACCTGACCAGACTTGATCTGACCTGACTTGACTTGGCACCCTCTCTGATCCACATTGCCTCCTCATAGACACTACCTCCTTCACCAGAAGTGACTAGCATCAGAGATTTGGACTGAAAAAGTGCCGACTGGCAAATGGGTAAATATTCCTGAGATTGCTGTGGGTCACAATAGTCCCAATCTACCCATGCCAACTGGACAATTTGAGTTTTAAGAGTCTGAGGGGTCTTGACAGCAGACACGCCAAACATATGTTCCCCCTCATGGAGAACCCTAATGCAAACAGGGCATAGTTTCAAAATAAGGGACCACCCATTTAATATGGAGAATAATTTATTTGACAGGGCGTCATTTTCTTTGAAGGAGAGTCAGTGGAAGCTGGCTCAGTAAATATATTCAAGTCTAAGGCACAGTTTTGATGTACAAATCACAGGTTATGATGAACAGGCAGAAAAGTGGAATTAAGACCACAATCAGATCAGCCATGATCTTACTGAACGTGTGAAATGGACAAATGGCCGACTCCAGCTCTTATTTTTTATTTTAAAACTGAGGCCCTGTCTACCCTCTCACATGGGTAAAAATATTCTATGGGAAGATTTCGAAGAGGAGCAGATGACTCATGCTCAAGACTGACTGCTCCTGGATTGTGGTAACAAAGATGTAAGTTTCTGCCAATTATTCATGCAAGAGGTGAAGACAAAATAATCTTCCTGCATAGGCCCATGGGCTCCAGTGAGCATTACTTAACAGTTTTTACATCTGAAAAAAATACTTGTCACTGCAAAACTGTTAAGTGCACATCAATAATACTAGAACATGTTAAGCATTTTTATTCAAAAGAAACATTTCTTTTTATTTAAAATCAGATTAGTCAGGTGGAAGACTGGACAACCTTATTAAAAGTGTTTACTATTTGTGATAAACCTATTTTCAGTTGTTTAATAAAAATATACCAATTTAGCACTCCTACATGCATCAAGGAATAGTTTAAATTGCAAAAAAAGAAAAATGAACAGTTACATTCTATTACCCTGCCCAATTGGGCAGGTAAATGAAAGATTTTATGCTTGTGATTATCAAATACATTTTAGCGTAAAGTTGAACTGTAATCTAACCAGTGCAATTTCAAGCACAATTTGCACTCACTTCCCAATTGCACCCAATGTGGAAACTTTATCCCACATGACTCCTTTAATATGTATCACAATTTACTTTCGTTGGAAGTCACCACAAATCTTCAAGGATGCAGAAGTAATGACTGAGATGCTGTGAAATTGTTCGTTTTCTGACAGATGTGTAAGCTTGTTAATCGAGCAGAAGCCAAAAGATAGACAAAAACTTGTTCCAATGTAATGAGAAAAAAGATGAGACGAGTGAATAGAGTTCTTGGAAAATGAATATTACCTCCCAGATCAAATACACCAGGGAGGATTTTTGAAGGCATCTTAATGTGAGCCACAGATACTCTATGGAGAAACTGAATGCCTAAATCACACTTGAGAGATCTTATTGAGAGCACAAAAATAAAAACACTCTTACTACAGCTCAGTACAGAACTGTTCAACTGAGAGGTAAACAAATGGATCAAAGTTACAAAGACAGAACCAAGGAAAAATTAATAGAACAATATTAGGCATATTCAAGTGATTTGTACCTTAAAAATTTTGATGCAGCACTAGATTAATCAGGACCACAGAGTTCTGCTGAATTAATCTTGATTGACCAAAGTGATTGTTGAGGAATTATTTAGAGACTTTCCTACCTCAAATTGCCTCGACTTTTTAAACTGATTTTTTTTAACATCTATCAGGGAATCAGGTTATCAGACATTTTTATTCACTTGTGGGACACGGGTGTAGCTGGCTGGCAAAAGGTGGGGCAAAACTCCCCATCAGTTTATGGACATACCCTGGACTTCAAACCCTCTGAAGGCAGAAGTTGTGGAAATTACATTGGATTCAATTTACTGAACTTTTGGGACTCCAGAAACCATGGTCTGCAACTGAACCAGGAAAAGGCTGATTGGGACAGGCTGGGATATATACAAGCCCCGGGGCAGATGTCTGGAACAGGGGTTAGTTTACAGAAACTAAAAGAAGATCCCCATTCATGCGATAACAAGGTGTACAGCTGGATGAACACAGCAGGCCAAGCAGCATCAGAGGAGCAGGAAAGCTGACGTTTCGGGCCTAGACCCTTCTTCAGAAAATTCCCAGTTTAAACAATGGAAGCCAGATTGCAGGAAAGAAACAACTTCAACCCCTCTGGAGCCTACAGAGGTACAAAGCCATTCAATTTTCCAGCCAGTGCTCAGGCACAGAAATACTGAACATTCCACACCATTGTGCTACATGCAAACCTGTTCCACCTTTGGATGTAAAGACATTCACAACATTATTCAAACGTGAACGAATACCCATCCAAGGGAAATACTGGACATTCCAAACCATTCACCTTAATCGTAAAACCATTCCCATCTTCTCCAGTGATCAGGAAGCTCAGTCAGCCCCGAGAGCAGGAACAACAGTTGAACAGATTTGGCGGGAGATAATGGGGCCTGCAGCTGGGTATAACTGGAGACCCCAAGCCCAGCACGGCAGTGAGTGAAGGAAGAGGAGAAAGAGAAGGAGAAAGAGAGTGATACCAGCAACGCGCCCCAATTCCGACCCGGTGTGTGCTCGGAGGTGGGCTCTGCGAGGAGAGTTTGAGAGTCTCAGTGAGAAGCAGGACCCGCTCGCGAAGGAAAGCAGCCCTCACAACCACTGAACACCGGCAGCTAACCACGAGCCTCCACTCGACGTCCAGAGGCAGTCAAAGGCATCCAGAGACACAAGACACTGACCGGGACAACACCAGCAACATCCTCCACCATCCAACACAACACGTGCTCGCAAGGACCACCAGAAAAGAAAAGAAAACCGAAGGTACTCACCGGTCTGGTCCCACGCAGCTAACTGCATCTGTGCACACCACCAGACCGACTGTTACCGGCACTCATGGCCCTTCACGGAGTCCCAGCTACGGCAAGAGACTATGGACAAGAACCTGTCAAAACCGCGTTTTCATACCAGGGTACCTGTCCGGAAGGGAAGTGGAATAGGAGTCTAGGTCAGCAGGTACTCTCTTTATCTCTATCTCCCTCTCTTCCCCCCTGCTAGCATAGGTAACAGTCACCCACTGTATCAAGTCTTGGCCGCAAGGCTCAACTGGGGGTCAAGTTAACAGAGAGACAGGTCTCAGTCAGAGAAAGGTGGGTTTTTGACATTCACTTTCTTGTTTTCTGTAAATATATTACATTTTGCTTGTTTGTTCAATAAAATCAGTGTTTTCTTTGCCTCTGAAGCACCTGCCTCTTGTGTTTGCCATTCCACTACATAAGCCCAGTGTAGGGAGATGGTGAACAATAAACCAGGCAGCACTCCCTCCACCAGCATTTATTGCCCATCCTTAGTTACTATTGGTGGCGAGCTGCCCTAGTGACTTGTTAGGCCATTTCCGAGGGCAGTTAAGAGTCAACTGCATTGCTGTGGTTCTGGAGTCACATATAGGCCAGACATTATCTCACCCCACCTAATTTTTGTAATTTCCTTCAGCTCTGTAAATTCCTCTAATTCTGGCCTTTTGAGTATCCCAAATTTAATCAATTGGATGGCAGCTCCTGCAGCTGCCTTGGTCCTAGCTCAGAATTGCCTCCCTGAGCCTCCACTTCTTTCTTCCTGCTTTGAAATAAAGGGGAACCTGCCTCAGTGACTGTACAGCCAAACTCTCAATGTCAACTTGTATAACCAAATCTTATATTCGACCTCGTAAAAATCTTGTTAACCATCTTGGGACATTTCATTATGTTGAAGGTGGTGGTTAAATACAAGATGCTGGTTACAAGGATGTTTTCTTACCTTTCATCACTGAAAACGTCAAGCACTTTCCTCTGTATAAATTTTATGGTAAGTTCTTTTTTTCTGGCTGCAGCACTTATAAACCACCAGCTGAAATCAGAATTTAATTACCGAGTCTCAGTCCTTTTAAATTTTTAATGTGTCCTGAGTTTTCTTCTGCTGGACACTTCCAATTTTTTTTTAATTTGCTGTTTTCCAGCTTAATACTTTCTGAAGCCTTCTTGATTCTACATATTTTTTCTGGCCCTTGCACTATCTCCTGCAATTGTGCCTCATGCAGTCTAATACTGATGTTGTTGATTTTATGAGAGAAATGGGAGCTTTGTATGTCACTCCCTTGCCCTCCCTTTCTTACATTGATTGCATGAAGTTTAACCCCTTTTGTCCTAGGAATATTTCACTTCACTCGCAAGCCTTCTCTTGCTCCCAACAGAGTCTCCTTTGCTAATGTTACAACTAGTCACTGACTCAGGTTCCCCTTTTTTATGTTCTCAGATTGGATACCCTGAAGTTATTTTGCCCCAAATGAGAAGGAATGAACAGGTTCCCCTCTTGTAATCACCCACACCTCAGTTGGTATCAGTTTAAAAAGTATCCTCTCCCTGATAGACACCTTTCTCCCAGGCCAAAGGGGTCAATCTAACCAAATTTTCTTGAATTAACAAACAGAGTCAGTGCAATAATTACAAAACATGAAAAGAAACGTTAGAACAGCATGCATACACAGTGACTAGGAATGAGAAGGGGATCCAAACAAAAAGTGTCAGTCTCTGTGTTATTTGTGAAGAGTAGATACTGAATGTTGATAGTTGAGCAGATGATTTTTGAGATTTTTGGCTTTGCAAATTAGCTGAAATGATGTTGTCTTGTTTACTTTTGAACTGGCTTGTTGATAGGCTTCCGGGAATAAACCAGGGTGTCCTTCTTTCATCCTGATTCCTTTTTAAATGACTTGCTGGCTGATTTCGAGTACTCAAAGCAAGAAATTAATTTACCTGCAACGCAGGGGTGACTAGTGAATAGTTCTTCAATTTTGCAGCCTTCAAACCCAGGCGCGTACACATGACTACCCCAGCCCATAAACATATGTAAGCTTTGAAGTACATTAGCACCAAGAGATCAGAAGTTATAGTTTTTGTTTTAAATTCTGCTTTGTGTTTTCTTAAAAGGGGAGAAACAGAAAAGCAGTCTCTTGTCCAGACTGCTGTCTTCTCTCCAATAATTTTCACTGTCTGAGATACACACAGATTACCTTTCAGTTTATGGTGCATTTTTCTCTTTGAAGTTGCCTTGACATTTTCAGGTGTGACACCCCAGGTTCCTTTCCAGACAGCCACTGAAATTACATCCACAGTCATCTTTTCGATGTATCTCCTTTGTAAAAAACAATCCACATGTTGCAATTACTCCGTGGTCCCTGCGCCACTCACTAGCTTTGTGATGAATGTTTAGCTTTGGAGTGCAGAGTTTTTCTCGTTGCACTTCCATGACTGATGTAGTCTCTCTTTCTTGATAATTGGGTTCCATCTGCTGAATCAATGTATATTCTTAAAGCAATGATGCTCTTAAAGTGGTGAACTCATTTGTTTTTAAAATCTACTTTTATTCTGGATCGTCTTCACCTTGTGATGTGTGTCTCTGTACAGAATGCAGATCTGCACCATTAAATACGATGTGATATCATTGTCACTACTGGCACCTCACGGTGTCTGCCTCTTCTGCCAGCCTATGGTTCAGAGAATCGGGGTTATTTGAGGAAGCTTTCTATTGCCATCCCTCCTTTGTCTGGTGCCTATCTATTTATCAGCAGTACAGATATACCACCATATTGAGGTTGTTGACTTGCTCGCCAAGCTGGCTTGTTCTTGTTCAGACGTTTCGTCACCGTGCGAGGTGACATCATCAGTGGATCCTCCGATGAAGTGATGTTATTCTACTCCGCTTGGAATTTAGACTGCCTGTTCCGTTATGGTGAGTGGTGTCATTTCCTGTTTTGATCTGAATGGATCTGTAACGGACCAATGTTGTGGTTTATTACATGGTAACAATTGCTGTTGTTTATGTACCGTAAGCGACTTGGATATCAATGTAGAAGGTTTAATAAGTAGGTTTGCAGATGACACAAAAATTGGTGGTGTAGTTGATAATGATGACAATCTCAGGCTACAGTCTGATATTGATCAGCTGATAAATTGGACAGAGCAATGGCAGATGGAATTTAATCCTGATAAGTATGAGGTGATGCATTTTGGGAGGTCTAATAAGGGAGGGATACACACAATGAATGGTATGCCTCTATGTAGTACTGAGTTAAAAAGGGAACCCAGTCCATCGATCCCTGAAGGTGTCAGCACAGGTAGACATTTCGGTGAAGAAGGCTGACAGGATGCTTGCTTTCATTAGCCAGGGCATAGAATATTTGAGTAAGGAAATCTCATTATAACTTTATAATTCATTGGTTAGGCCACAGATAGAATACTGTGTACAGTTCTGGTTGCCACGCTATCAGAAGGATGTGATTGTATGGGAGATGGTGCAGAGGAGATTCACCAGAATGTTGCTTGGGATAAAAGGTCTCAGTTATGGGGAGAAACTGAATAGGCTGGGTTTGTTTTCCTTGGAGCAGTGGAGGCTGGGGCTGGGATCTGACTGAGGTATACAAAATTATGAGAGGCATGGACAGAGTAGATTGTGATAACCTCTTCCCCATGGCAGACGTGTCTAAGATCAGAGGACATAAGTTGAAGGTGAGGAGCAAGTGGTTTAGAGGAGTTCAGAGAGAGAAAAAAAATCGCCCAGAAAGTGGCCACTCAGAACGTGCTGCCTGAAAGGATGGTGGAGGCAGGTACTCTCACAATACTTAAGATACATCTGGATGAGCACTTAAATGCTGGGGCTGTGGATCAAGTGCAGGTAAATGGGATTAGTGTAGTTTTGTGTTTGTTGGTCAGCATAGACATGGTGGGCTGATTTTGATTTTGATTTTGTCACATACTCAAGTACAAAAGTACAGGAGTATAGTGAAAGGCGTATAATGTCACCACACAAGGCACCACTACAGAAACTTAAGAACAGGGTAGAAAGAAAGAACAAAGTTTAAAGTTAAACATTGCAGTGATAAAAGTATAGTGACACCTTTTTAGTTTTAAATAGGAATAAAGCTGAAAGTTCAAACATGAAAGGCCGGTTTCTATGTTGTATGACTATTTCTCTATAATAATTACGCGACTAGTCAGGCATAATTGATAAAACGCTCTGAAGTTGTAAAGAAAGCATCTAGCCCTATGAAGGCTTATATCGAACTGACTGACTCTATCCACAGTAGCATGGACAGAATGGGTGGAGCTCGATGTAGCATGAACATCAACTCCTTCAGAACTATTATCTCATTCAACAAAATGTTTTACATGGAGAGAGGAATTTGGAGAGAGCAGGATCACAAGTTAACTCTGATTTCTCTTCATAGATGCTGCCAGACTTGCTGAGCTTTTCCACACAGCCACATCACAGTTCACAGTGACTACCTCCAGCTCAGGCTCGCCCCCACGTGGATTCCAATTGAAGGTTTGTGCTTTGAATCCATCCAGGATCACAGATATCTCCGTGATGTTCAACGTTCCACTAATAGCTGCTCTCGCCGCATCCTGAGATCCACATTCAGTGCCATGCAGCACCACATGCACACTCTCGACCTCTCTCTCCAACGGCATCGCGTCACGCTGGCTCAGGGCTGCGCCACTCCACAGTTCCACTTTCATCCTTTGGCTCATTCACCGTGCTAACAAGAAAGTTTTTCTTTTCCTTTCAGGCTTCAAGGCCCATAAAATGCAACAACTCAAAGATACTCATGGCCCTCTGGAACCTTCCTCCCCTGCCCTTCCCTCTGACTCCATCCCCTCCACCAAGCCCACCTCCTGTCAAGTATTCTCCATCTCTCCTAACCTTCCACTCTCCAAGGTTGAATGTTCTGTGCTCAGCAAAGCTTTATCCCTCTGCATCCCCACCTTAATGAATTTTGGGCACGACATGACGGCAAACTCTTCTTCCTCCGTCTTCACCTCCGTGCCCATTTCCTTGGACAGGGGTCCTCTCCCCGTCCCACAGAACACTTTGCCCAGCTCCAACACTCTCCCTCCACCTGGACACCTCCCTCTAGTCTTTTACCTGCACTCAACCTGTTCATTGAGAACAGTCGACATGATATTTATCGCCTCAATTTCTCTGCCCCCCTCACCCAATCTAAACTGTCATCTTCTGAACTGACTGCACTATGTGCACTCAGATCTAACCCTGACGTTGTTATTAAGCCTGCTGAGAAGGGTGGTGCTGTTGTAGTCTGGCATACTGACCTCTACATTGCAGAGGCTGAGTGCCAGCTCTCAGATACCTCCTCCTGTCTTCCCCTGGACCATGACCCCACCATGCCACATCAGGCCATTGTATCAGCTATGGTCACTGACCTCATTTCATCTGGTGATGTGCCC